GGCTCCCCGGGGAAGCGCCTGCAGCCGGTGTGGCATCCTCTGGGCCAGCGCCGGGTTTGAAGCTGGCGGCTGCTTGAACGCCTCGCTAACGTTTTTCCCCTGCGCTGGTTCTCTGTAGTTATCTCTGCTGCCAGTCGTGCTAGTTCCTGGGGCTTTCTTCACAATCTTAAAAGCAGGTCAGAGCTCGTAACTTTTGAGCGCAAGGGCTCAGCGGCAAGGGTGCCTTGCTCTTGCAGGCCGGGTTAAGTCAACACAAAAAAGGTTTGTTCACCTTGTGCGGTTCCTTTATAGGATCCAAGGGACAAAACTGTGTGGTGGTCTTATTTCTATTAGAATCCATCTTGCAGGAAGGTACACTGTAGTAATACGTGCATGCCAGAGCCCGCCACAGACTACATTAGCTGCCTTTCCACACCTTCTTCTATTTTTTTTCTCAATTGGCTGATCTCTTTAACTATATGCCTTTTGCTGTCAGGGGTTTGATGTATTATGATGCCATCTCCCACTCTAAAGTCTCCTGAAAACTTGGTTCAGTCCACTTGTAATTATGTGATCCAGAAGCCAGCATAGCTGGTGTTTCCTCCTGTTTTTCTGCCATCCCTCCTCTTCATGCTTCCAGCTGGAGTTGCTCCAAAGTCCTGGATTTTCTTGCCCTCTGTGGAGAAATGAAGAGAGAGGAATTGTAGTGTATGGATGTGGAAGCATTTGTTTTTGAGGGGATGACCAGATTTTTTACAATGTGGTACTGTATAAAAACAAATGTTATGAAGATGTCTTATCAGATAGTAAAGAACAGAAATCAAACCTGCAGAATCTATTGAGCCACCTGTTTGTGCCTTAATGAGCTGGACAAGATCGTGATATAGGATGCCAATATTGATCTGTGCTTTGTCTTGGACGTGGCTGATGTGGAAGAGGGCCTAGGAGGACGCCAAGGGCTGTGTCACTGATTCTTGACAGCCAGGAACCTGACCAAAACTCTGGCGAAGAGAGAGGAATGCTTTTCTCCCAGAACCTCCATTTGTGTTGTCAGCCTCCATTCCTAGAAATCTGCAGGCACTATGGAGGCGATAGGTAAGCATTTTTTTGACCTTTATTGCAAGTTACGTTTCTATACAGCAGTGTATACCTGCTATCTTTTCTGTAGACCTTTCATTCATCCCCATCTTGGATGGGAGCTAAGACTGTAGGCTCTGCCCCATCTCTCCAAGTTAGTCTCCTGCTATGTGCTCAAAACAGCAATCCCATATGGTGAGAATGCAGTAGCTAACCTGCTCCCCCCCCCCAATCCCCCCATCTTTTTTGTCTTCCCAGTGAAATTGCAGCTCTCTAATTCCTGCTTAAAATGGTGATTCCCACTGCAGTCAATTTGTTTTAGACCTTTCATTCATCCCCATCTTGGATGGGAGCTAAGACTGTAGGCTCTGCCCCATCTCTCCAAGTTAGTCTCCTGCTATGTGCTCAAAACAGCAATCCCATATGGTGAGAATGCAGTCCCAGTGAAATTGCAGCTCTCTAATTCCTGCTTAAAATGGTGATTCCCACTGCAGTCAATTTGTTTGCTGGTTGCTACTTCTGTCCTGGTCTGACCTGCCCTCTCCCTGTGTTACATACCTTTCTCCCAGTCCTCCCCCAGTGTATTCATTCTAAGGTGTGCTCTTTTTAGAGAGGAACACTTTGGGATTCAGTTATTGAGTACACCTTGTCAGCTGTTCAAGCAAACAGTTCCATTCAGCACAAATTCATTATTGTGTCCATCTTAATGGGTGCTTGTTTACCCTTCAGTACTAACACACTGCAGTAGTAACCATCTTGCAGGTCAAAACCATATCACACAAAGCTATTGGCGAAGCTGGTACTTATATTAGATCTGCACTGACGACAGTTACCCACCTCTGGTGTATGTTAATCCCAAAACTGATCAGAGGAAAGGTGGGAAAAACCACCTCTCCCCAGAGATTGGGAAGGGACTTCAGAGATGGCATCTCAAACTTGTGAGATGCATTTCCTTCCGCTGTTGTGAGAATAAAACAATAACTGGCTGTTACTTTTTTGCCCTATAGGAAATCTGAGATTGCTAGACCCACGTGGCTCCTACTGTTAACTGCTCAATGCCTGGCAAAGTGGAAGGAACAAAAGTGAAAATTTTTGACTTTGTGAAAACCTCTGAAAAACACAAATACATAGTGCAAGCATGGAGGGGAATGCTCAAAGGTGAAAAGCAAAAAAAGCAGAGGGGCCAAGATGGAGGGCCTCTCCCCAGCCAAGGAGATGGCAAAGAACAGGCTCGCTCTGTCCCGGAAGCTAGCTAAAGAGATCTTCAAAACAGCAAGGAAAGCCTTGCAGTGACCTGGGAAACTGCACAACTGGCTGGGGCTGCAGGCTGTGAAGCAGCTGTTAGAAACACTGAACGGCATTGGGAGGTGTCATCCATGAAAGCTGCTATTCCACACATCCTTCTCTTGACGTCCCGCTATATCATATCAGCTGTAAGCTTCGTCAGCCCCAGGGTAGGCTTTGGAGGCAGTCTACCACTGGAACACCCTTTAGCAGCATCTTTGCGTGGCAGTGAAACCAGCAGGGTAGGGGAGACAGTGTTTTGAGATGATGTGTGTGGGTGCCATGCTGTTTGAGCCCTCAGCCCTCCTGCCTGGCACCATGAAGAAAGGCGACAGTGAGCTGCTCACCTGAGGTGTCCCCTGGTCCTTTAGACAACACCCTGTCCACTCACACTGCTGAACTCCTAGAACAATGAAGCTGGTGATGAGACTTGAAGAAACTGAAGTTACTGTGCCTCTACACTGGTGGACCCTGTTGTTTTACTGGTCTTTATGAGTAGAACAGTGTGTTTAAGAGATCTTCTTGAGTCCCTGACCTGTGCTGGCGCACTAGCCTAAACAGCGAACCTGTCTGCTGTGCTTCCAGGAATTCCTGAAAGTGCTCACTGGGCAAAACAAGCTCTACACATGAACACACAGCCTTCCATTCCCCTTCTGATCAAGCCTCTGAACAGTTGCTGATTCCCCTCTCAATATACATATATCCAGTGGTCTCCTTTAAGAAGAAAACAAAACCAAAAGAACAACGAATAAAGGCAAAATGCAGTCCTTTGTAGCACAAAACAGAAAGACTGTGGCTGTCCAGATCAGAGTGCTTTGCTACCCTTTGCAGACTATGCCAAATAGTTCAAAGCATGTAGGTAGGGCATGCATCTAAAATAGGCACATGAAGGTGATTGTCTCTCTCGTATAGCTGTCTGGCCCTTGCAGACATGTACATGCTCTGTGTGACCCTTAACATTTGAGGAAAGCGTTGCTTTGGCTGCCTTAAACCTTCTAACTGGCGCCTGCTGTCTGTGCTTCGGTTTTCTAGATGCATGTGTCGCTACAGTTTTGAAAGCTGCTTAAGCATTACTTGTGGGGTATTGGGTTCCCTTACACTCTAGATTTCTAATAAAGCTCTTCATCGACTATGTAGTAGTAGTAGTAGGTGGTAAAGGTAGTTCCTCCTTGAATATACGTTGTGTTAGCTGTGCTAGCAAGTCAGGCTGTGTTAGTAGGGGATGTTGGGCAGGCTTGAAGATCTAATTATCATGAACTGCTGTAAGCCATGTGTCTGAGGCAAGTCAAGCACGGATTTCAGATTGGCGTTAGTGCGTAGTTGAAGGGAAGGACATCTTTCTGGGCATGATTTTGGAATGTGTATGTAAGGACAGCTTGCAGAAGTATGGGTTTCATTGAGCATCGTAGTGTGGCACAGGTATGGCTACCCATAAGGCTATCAGTCGGTGACAGCCTTTACAACTCTTACTAAAAGTGCCTTTCTAACAGAAATGCGTATCTCAATCGCAACAGCTGTTGAGCCGCTGTACCAGGATGCTTGGCCACCAACAGATTTGTAACCATGGAGGCAGCCAGAGAGCAGGTAGCCAATCGGTCCTGAGTGGGTGATGAAGGTCTCCTTGGTCTGCCACTGCCACGCCACCATCGTGGTCACTCTGTGCAAGTGTCCTCAGCTGTACCGTATGAGTGACGCAGGTTTTCGCCGGAAATGGTGCTACACTAAGAAAAATCCTTCCTGAACCACTGTTGTCTTGTCCTTGTTTTCCGCTTTGTTTCTGTCTACTTTTTCCTTCTCTTGATGCTTCTGCAGGGAAGGGCAAAGGAAGTTGTGGTTGTTGCAGTAACTGCAGTCAGAGCTTGTTGGTAACACAGCACAGCTGCTGGCTTGCAAAACTGCAGCTCTCCACTGGTGAAACGTCTGAATACGCTCATACAAACTGCTTTGTATGTCTGCCTCTCAGCACTGTAGCATAAAGTACCTAAAGTTTTGTTAGGAGTTTGGAAATAATGCTTATTCCTGTTCTCTCCTTCCCCTCTGCCCCCTCAGAAAACAAAGGGGGAGATGAAGTATGTGTAAGACTTAGGAGATGCTCTAGGTTTTGGTGCCTAGGTGAGCTCTGCAGTGAGGTCTGGCTGGCTTCCTCTGGCTGTCCCATCACGTTTTGGGGGAGCAGCAGCGCTCTGCAGCGGAGACTGCAGAGTACCCGGCTAAGGAGTTTCTTTGGAGAAAATAGCTCCTCCCCTTTCTGTTTTCCTTGCATGCAAACATGTATTACACAGAAGTAGAAGTGGGGTGTTCACTTAAATGTGGCTTTTAAACATTGGTTACTTCAAAATGAGATGCTTGGTATCCTTACTTGCTTTGAAGTGTATCTTCCAACATAAATGAACTCTGAGCGCAGACAAATAACCTTGTGCAATGTTGCAAGAACATAGCTGTCAGAGAAGCTGGTTTTAAAAAAAAAACAAACCAAAAACAAACCACCAGAAAGTGGTCCTTAAAAAAGAATCCTTCTCTTTCAATAAAGCACAGGAATTGATTGTCCTTCTAACTGAAGCTGTTTTTGAAACTAACTGCTTGACGTCTGCAAATGGGTATTTAATCTTTTTTCCAGCTGGTGATGGTGAGTCCAACTTCAGAGCAGTATGACAGCTTGCTCCGGCAGATGTCAGAGAGAATTGATGAGGGATGTGGGGAGACCATCTATGTCATTGGGCAAGGATCGGGTGAGTATAGCTTCCTTAGGAAAAACATTAAACTTGTAAGAAAAACCTAGTTCTTCTAACTGGCCTACTGCCAGAGGTGGTATTTATTTCTTCAGAATAACTTGGAAACCTCCATAAAGTGTAGCAGAACATGTGGGACAGATGCTTTTATTTTATTCCTGCCAGCAACTGTCTTATGTAGTGGAGCTAAACATATTTTTTGTATAAAATCATGCAAGTTCTTTTTTTGGAAATAGGGCATAAGTTGTCTGGGCGCACCAGGAAGAGACGAAGGATCTGAAATTGTAACAACACTTTTAGTACAGGCATCCTCAATGTCTGATGGAGGTCTTGTTCTGTCTGGTTTTGTTCACTTCTCCATTGTAAATAACATTATTTTTTACCCCACAGGAATGTATTGGAGATACTTCAGATAGCCAAAATATATGCTGCTGACTTTCTTTGTTAGTGTGTGCCTGTACTACGGAAGAAGGGTTTTCCTTTCTCAGCATGAGGCCTTTATTGGCACATTAGCTCAGGTGTGACTGCAGACATTTGCCTTTGCAGATTTTAGCAGTTAGCATGAGTTACTTTTTTGTTCTTTTTCACAATCTGAACATTTGCATCTGATGCTGGTAAAATAACATTGAACATGTCCTTGCTTCAGAACTGAATTTTTTTCTGAATACAAAAAAATTGTCTATGGCTATCGTAAGGCTGAAGGCATGTTTCAGATATATTGAATATCTGCTGGATATCAAATTGTTATGATCAGACATTCTGCTAGTTGCTACATTTGAGGAAGAATACCAAACCCATGTTGTTAGTGCCAGGGTTGGCTGAGATAATGGAGGGAGAGCGTTGTGTTACCTCAGAATTGCGTGCTTTTGGGGTTTTCTTGCTATCTTGCAAAGCAGCCAATGTAGAAGAGAAGCCAGGATTAGATGACGAGTTGTCATGCAGCCGATATATCACAGGGTTAATGCTCCTGTGTCCAAGTGAACTTCCCACGTGTAGTCTGAATCCTTGGTGTTTGGGATAACCACATGTGCAGGGGAGATCTAGCTAATCAGGCTAGTAACTGCTTTCTCTTCTAGGATACCTTGTGAGAGTGTTAACTGGTGGTTGTTGCGATGGTGTACTTAGAAATAGGCATTTGTTTCTTAAAATATGAGCTAAACCACTTCCAATTTCCATTTTGGAGTACTGCATAGTTGAGGAAGATGGGGATCTTTTCTGTAAATTGGAAACAATAGCCAACTGAAAATAAATCTTGATATCCCTGCCACCGTCTCTCCCTCTCATTTACTTTTGAGTGTCTATGATTTTGATCATCATGGGTACTGAACTCGGATGACTGAGAGCAAGTGAAGACTGCCAGGTGGCCCACGGCTTCATCAGCAGTGACCCTTCCCGCTCTCCCTTGGCTCTTACCCTCTCCTCTCCCCTACGTCTCATTCCCTTGCTATGACCCCAGCCGTGGTGCTTTTTGTTTTTCCCACCATCTCAACAGCTGCTCAGTCAGTTTATGAGCTGGGCTGGAAATCACCCAGCAACTCTAATTGTTGTAGAGCTATGCAGTAGTTAAAATGCTGATTAGTTCATGCAAACTGCAGTTACTGCTTACCAGCTGATGAGTCAGCCATGCATATGAGCGTACACACAGCGATAGCTTTGGTCATCCAGGTGCTACGTGGCTCTTCACCTTTGTTTGTTGGCTTTTTTTTTTTTCACCCACAGAGGAGATCCTGGCCTGAAACCTGTGCAGCTTCTCAGCACCTGGGTTAGGAGAGAAGCTGAGAGCTGTGGTGGCCTTTAAACTGTCTATATAGTTGCCACTGGCTTGCTCTGGCTGTCACCTTTCTTCTTGGGTGGGCTGTTCAGAGGCAGCAGTGCCTCCTTGTTTTTTTCCGGCCTCGTGTGCTGTCAGCATTTCTTTCAAGTGCCAGGACAAAGGCAGTAAGACATGCCAAAAACATTGTTTTAACTGGAGCACATGGGGGCTAAAGAAATTGCTGTGCAGGCCAGACTTACAGAAAATCTGCACTTGGGATGTGGTTTTATAAAATAAGCTGATTGTTTAAATTGGTCCCACATTCACTGGTTAATTGTGGTGATATTTCAGTCAGAGCTTTCCTTTTGTTAATGCTTTTCCCTTTATTGCAATGCAAGAAGAGATGTTTTATCTGACTGAAGGAAATTGCACGCAAAGTACTTCAGCATGTGAAGTAAGGGAATTGCAGAAATGTGTCTTTATTGCCAATCACTAAGTATTTGCTTGTAGAAGTTGTGAAGAAAACTCCTTGAGATGAAGGATGGTGCTTTTTTAGTAGCTTTTAAGACCTGGAGTGAAGACCATCCTTTTTTATTTTGGGCAAAGAGTGCTTAGTCTGTTGACATGTCTGACACCTCCAGTCCACTTATAAATCCCTATGAGTGTGAAGGTCCCAGGCAGAATGACATTGCTGCTGGCCGTTGCAAGGTGGTGCTCACTGACTGTCCTTTGCCTCCTCAACACCGTGCTAGATGGGACTGAATACGGTCTGAGCGAGGCAGACATGGAAGCATCCTATGCCACGTTGAAGAGCATGGCAGAGCAGATCGAGGCAGACGTGATCCTCCTGCGGGAGCACCAGGAGGCCGGGGGCAAGGTGCGCGACTACCTCGTTCGAAAACGTGTGGGTGACAACGACTTCCTGGAGGTCAGGTGAGGAGCCGGGTGGAGACAGGGTTAGTCAGCAGCTCAGCTGCATTTTTACCGTGTGAGCAGTCCGTGATGCTGAGCCAGCAACGCTGATTCGAGTCTGGGTGTTGTAGCTACCCAACAAAGGGAATTGAGCTTGACCACTCCTTACTAATGAAATCACCTTTTTGTTGTTGTTGCTGTCTCTTTTGTGAACAAACTGTTTGTGGAGGTTTGCCTGTATTTAGCTGATGGCTTTTGCTGTCTGGGTGACAGTTTCACAGTTTGGGGATCTTTTGTGGGCTGGAATCCCAGTAGGGACTCACATGTGCACGTGTGTCTGGATGTGTGTGTGCATATACGCACGCTGCTGGAATACAATGCTTTTGACTAAGGGTTCAGTTCTGTTCCAAGACTGTGGTGATCCAAGTCACCTTTTAATGGACATAAAATAGCTTGCGTAACATGACTGGAGAGTCTGCCCAGACCTGGATGGAATGGATTTCCAACATTTGCCAGTAGCCATAATAGCCACCTTTATCAGAGACAAGGAAGGAGTTTGCTGTAGGAAACAGTTTTCCCCTAAAATATTTAATTGTTGTTTGAGCTTTGCCTTTTCTGGGAACAGCAATTTAAATTTTTGTGCTCTGCCTAGCACCTGGTGCTATTGCAACAAGAAGAATATGAGAAAGGTAAAGGTATTCTAGACCAAGTTGGGATTTAGTCTGTCTTTTGAATTGCCACAGTGTATATGTCGGATTGCAGAGACTAGGGATTGGAAGAGAGATATTCTGTACAGTGTCAAGCAATGTCAGGTTCAGCTGACTGTGTTCTGGGCACCAGTGACATGTTTCCATGGTCTTTCACATCCAAGTCCTCAGAGTCTGGGATCTCCACTGTTAACTAATGACTGTGAAAGAATCTCTGCTCTGCCTGTGAAGGTCTACCATTTTTGAATCTCTGTTTGAAGGTTAGGGAGAAAAAGCTACTTATTTGCAGGAGCAGTGGTGTTTGGGGTTTTTTTTATTGCTTGTTTGTTTTTTCAGTTATCAGATTTTACCATGTTCCTTCTTCCTTTCCCTTCCAGGGTAGCAGTGGTTGGCAATGTGGATGCAGGAAAGAGCACGTTGCTAGGTGTCTTGACACATGGCGAACTAGACAATGGCCGAGGCTTTGCTCGGCAAAAGCTCTTCCGCCATAAGCATGAGATTGAGTCAGGCCGTACCAGCAGCGTGGGCAATGACATTCTGGGCTTCGACAGTGAAGGCAATGTGGTGAACAAGCCCGACAGCCATGGTGGCAGCTTGGAATGGACAAAGATCTGTGAGAAATCCACCAAGGTCATTACTTTCATTGACCTGGCTGGTCACGAGAAGTACCTGAAAACCACCGTCTTTGGCATGACCGGCCATTTACCTGACTTCTGCATGCTTATGGTAGGTAGCAAGGAAGATGTACGGTACCAGCAGTAGCGGGGCTGTTCACATCTTTAACAGCCTCAACTTCTTTCCTATTGCAAAGTCCCTGTGGGGTTGTGGAGGGAGGCAGCATCTCCCAGAGGGGGAGAGCAGCAGCCATTGTGGATATCTAGCCAGGGCTCTGAGGCAAGTGCCCCAGGACTGTTGGCTTCAGGCAGGCCCAACATGTATGGTTCTTGAAAACTGAAATATTTCCAAACTCCAAAATACCTTGCAAAAATTGAGGAGCAATGACTCCTTAGCCAGTGTCCCGCAGCATTTGAAATGAGCTGGATCTGCTCATACAGACAATGAGCGTCTACAGCCTACTGCATGTCTGACACAAGACCTCTGTAACCCAACTCACTGCAGGAAGAATGTCTACATCACCATATCTTGTATCTCCTGGTGTAGGTTGGCAGTAACGCTGGGATTGTTGGAATGACCAAGGAGCACTTGGGCCTGGCGCTTGCACTTAATGTTCCCGTCTTTGTTGTGGTGACCAAGATCGACATGTGCCCTGCCAACATCCTGCAAGGTGAGTCCTACAGCCTCTCTCCAGGGCTGTTTCTTACCTCTGTATGTGCTGTCGTCCTCTGCTTGGGTTGAGGAATTACTGCTGGAGGAAAGCTGCTTTATCTGGTTTTGACTGCATCTTAAACACCTTCCAGAAATCTGTCCTTTTCCCTTGCCTGTTTTGCAGGTGGTCCACTCGTCGTCACCATTTCAAAATTACCCAAGTTTGGGGACTCAGCTGGGCAACCCAGAAGTGTTTGCTACAGGATTTTGTTTAATTGAGCTCTAAGGGGAGAAGCATACCGTTGGGGTTGGAGGGAAAGTCTGGAAGTTCTCTTGAAAAGCTGCTTTCCTCCTTGCCCACAGCACAGTTTGAGTGTGATCTTAAGCTGTGATCAAACTTGTTCTCCAGCAGCCGTTAGGTGAAGGGGCAGCTGCTTGTTACATCCTGCTCACCTGGGCACTTCTCAGATATGCTGGCATAACTACAGCAGCTCCTTCCTCTGTCTGAACAACCAGGCAACACCTAATAAATCACTGCTCAAAGCAGCTGCATATGTGGGCTATGGTAGCAGGACTGGACTAGACACAAGCAGGGATGGCAGTGAGCAGTAGGGGCTAGTGACTTTTTTGCTCAGCAGCAGTTAAAGCAGCAACTCTAACCCCAGCAGTGTCCCTTTAACCTATGCTTGACATTTTTTCAGGCTGTGACCAACTCTCACCTTCAAAATTCTCTTGATGCATTTCTCACACCTTCAGGAACATGCTGTCATTAACTGGAGCAATGGTTTTTTTGATAATCAGTCCTAAGAATCAGGAAAGTGAATTTTCCCGGTACTGTCTGTGGTTAGTTCATTATTGTGCAAATCCTAAATATGTTTCAGGTAAACAGACACATGTGATCAGAAGATAATCTAAACGTCCCTATAATAGGTGTTTGGCAAATAAATGTTAGGCCCAACCATAAGATAGTAATTGGGAAGGAAGGAGAATATCTCAGGGTGAGGAGAGAAGAACTGCTCTTGGGAGAAGCCACTCCTGTGTCATGTTCTGTTTAAATTAAATAGACACAAGATTTGGCTCAAGTGTATCTGTGAAGAGCAGATGGCATGATTCTGATGTTTGTGTTTCTGTATCCAAAACATTACTTTCCCATAGGCAATCATTTGTTCACAAAAAACATCTAATTGGATGACAATTGTAGAATATAAATGATTTGCTCTTTTCAGCCCTTACTAGCCTTTATTTTTTTTTTTCCTCATTTATTGTGAGTCACTTTGCAGGAGGCTGATGCTAGATCAGCTAATGCCCCTGCTGGCTGATCGATATGAGGCTTAGAAAATAAATTAGGAAGAGGCAAAAGATCAAAGTGGGGAGCCATGTCATTTGTCTCAAAATATTTATTTCTGGATCTGGTCCACATACACTGTCCTCTTTCATGCTTCTCTAACCTTCTAGGGCCGGTTGATTGTCAGGGAAAGTGTGTTGAGGCTTGTTTGGTCAAAACTGATTTCTAATGCATATATTTTCAAATATTTCAATTTCTGAGTGCTGCTGGTTTTCATTGAATTCAACATGAAAAATCCTTTATAGGACGAGGAAATACCTTGTAACTGCCTAAAGCTACTTAATAGACGGCTATAAAATGTCTACTTCACAGCATTGCACTTGCAGATGCAAACGTGTGTCTGTTCATGTATGGTGTCGCTTGGCAGCAGGCTAGCTGGCATGAAATGGAAGATGGAATGGCTCCTAAGTAAGTCCTACCTGGGCTGCAGCAAACTCAGTCTCACTCACGCACCTTTAGCCATCTTCTCCTGTCTATTTGTGGCAAGAGCACCAGTCTCCCTTCGGGGAGAGACCCCACAAAAGCGATTTGTAAAGACGGGAGATGCTGCCCTAACAATATTCATTTCACCCTTTAAGAAACCCTGAAGCTGTTACAGCGACTGCTGAAGTCCCCAGGGTGCAGGAAGATTCCCGTGCTGGTTCAGAGCAAGGATGATGTCATTGTAACAGCCTCCAACTTCAGCTCAGAGAGGTAACGGGAGTAGAGGAGAGTCGTTTCTCTTTCAATCCTATTTGGAGACTGGGTGAGAAGATTCAGAAAGAGAGTCCCATTGTCTAGATGTGTGAAGGTTGCATCTGCCATGTGGTGTGTTGATTCCATAAGAATGTGTTGATTCTGAGATTGACCTGCTTGTGTTCCCCTCTCTGAGACAGAAATGAGAGGCTGCTTCTGGGCAGTCTGCAGAAGATGGCAGGGCATTCAGCTTCTTTCAGTCCTGGAACCTTACACCTATTCCTGAATGTCATTAGAAGGCAGAGGCAATGTTGCAGGTTTTCAAACATGGGGTGTTGTGCATCTGACTGCTTGCCAGGCTCTCCCTTCCTAGCACTGTGTATTGAACTCAGTCCCAAGATTTTGGATGTGTCCCTACACATGGAATTCCAGGCAGGGAGGTGAACTAACTCCGTTTTCATCACTTTTCCTTTACAGGATGTGCCCGATTTTCCAGATTTCAAATGTTACTGGAGAGAACCTAGATTTGCTGAAGATGTTTCTTAATCTCTTGTCTCCGCGGACCAGTTACAGGGAAGAAGAGCCAGCAGAATTCCAGATAGATGATACTTACTCTGTCCCGGTAAGGGGCCTGGTGTTCGGAAGAATTTTCTGTTCCCTCTTTCAGGTTGAAGAATGCATCTTCCCTGGAGAGGGGAATTCTAGAGCTCTTCTGCTAGCATGGTCAAGTAACCCCAATTACTCTTTTTTCTCTTTTGGCATAGGGTGTAGGAACAGTTGTGTCTGGGACAACACTGAGAGGCCTAATCAAGCTAAATGACACCCTGCTTCTGGGGCCAGATCCCCTTGGCAACTTCCTACCTATTGCTGTCAAGTCCATCCACCGCAAGAGAATGCCTGTCAAAGAAGTGCGGGGAGGCCAGACTGCCTCCTTTGCTTTGAAAAAGGTGAGATGATCTGCTCTAGACTCCCAGAACAGGAGCCACCCTCCTAATTTTTGACTGCTCTTGGAGTTCTGCTGCAATCAGACTGCTTCTGCAAACCTCAGCTGCCTCATTTCATAGCACATTAAAATCCCATAGAACCTCTATGGGTCCTGTGTCCTGGTTGCCTCCATCTGACAGCTGCCAGGTAATAACAGTGGGACCCCAGGTAACGAGGAATAGTGCTGGACGTGTGTAACAAAGCGGAGGCATTGCAAGAAAAGTCTCCTCTTGTGCTGCAACTGCATTAGTGGCTTAGGGTATTTACACTATTCCTTTCAACTTGTAGGATCAGCTGCATGATTGGGGGTTTAAAAATTAGCAAAATTTGATGTGATTCCTCTGGTGAAAGGTTTCTCTCAATAGAAGCTGCACTGATTTTAGGGGGATATAGTTTAAGCTACACTGAACTTCATGTGTTCAGTCTTATCATTTTGGGTTAACAGACATCATGCTTTTGGAGAGATCATCTGCTTGGGTAATGTGCAACCAGGATGTATGTTTTGCTTTTAAAGGATCAGTGAGTTAAAACTTCTGTGTCAGTGTCTAGCATTCCCAGCACTCTAACTAAAGCTTCCTTAGAAACTTCAGCTGAACTTGATTTTTGCAATCTTTGCATGACATCGTTACATACTGCTAAACAGCTCTGGCTTTGCCTTTTGGTGAGCATGGTGTTAATCTGTGAAATCCCTTAGGAACCTTCTGGATGCAGTCAGCCAGAGAAGCAAATTTCTTCCCTGGAGAATCACACTAAGGTTTTTTGTGTCTCTGCTTTTCAGATCAAGCGTTCTTCCATCCGGAAAGGCATGGTAATGGTGTCACCCCGCCTGAATCCACAAGCATCGTGGGAGTTTGAAGCAGAAATTCTGGTGCTCCATCACCCCACCACCATCAGTCCACGATATCAGGCCATGGGTATGTGTCTCAGTGTTGTTTCATCTTTGTTTCCCAGTAGTAACAGTTTATATCAGCTCTAGCCTGAGATAATTTTTCTCTTGGTGGCTCTGTCAGCCTGAATATAAGCCATAGTTCCTGGTTTGACATTTCCCAGCAATGCATTAGAGAAGAGGGGAGGGAGCTGACAGAGGAGAGTGGCAAAGGCTGTAGGAAGAAAGGAGATGTGTGACTCCATGTGTACTTGGAGCCTGCCTGAGCCAGATCTCCATGGTGTGAAGATTCTTCGGCTTCAGATCCTGACCGAGAGAATCATTTTAGGTCCTGCCCTCTAGCCTTGGCTGCTTGTCTTGTAGAATTCTGTTGAGGATGCTTCAGGAAAGTCTCTGTTTGAAGGCAACTGTTCTAGCTTGTATGTGTTTTCTTTTTAAGGACTGAACAAAGGCAGCTGTGTGACCTGTGTAGTCTTTGGTACACAGTAGATTTTTACATTCCAAACTCAGCGCCGTTAGCTGTGGGGTAGCAAGAGCTGCCTTAGATGTCTCTCTGAAGCTTATTCTACTAATGGCACTGACTGTTGAAAGCCTTTTTGCATTACGTTCACAGTGCATTGTGGCAGCATCCGTCAGACGGCCACGATTCTCAGCATGGACAAGGACTGCCTGCGGACGGGGGACAAAGCCACAGTGCACTTTCGCTTCATCAAAACCCCGGAATATTTGCATATAGACCAGCGTCTGGTCTTCCGTGAAGGCCGCACCAAAGCTGTGGGTACCATCACTAAGGTAAAGGCTGAAGAGTCTGACTTTTTTTTTGCCCATTAGCTACTTTTGGTGCTGAGAAACCAGCAGGAGAATCTGAACAGCTCTGGAAAATTGAGGGAAGAGGCTGTCCTTCAATCACAAATGTCAGCCCTGACATGGGTTGCAGATGACCCATGTGCTTTGTCATGTGCTGGATCTTAGCTGGGTGTGAATGAGGGAATATGAAGGCGGGGGGTGAGCCAGATGCCTCTGGTTCTTACGGCTTGGTGTCTTTCCAATGGCTTGGTCTCTTTCCGACAGCTTGTGGCTGGTCCCTTTGAGTCATGTTGTGGAGGGCTGAGTGTCACCTCAGCCAAGTGGCTCTTTCCACCCTGTAAGGGTTCCTGAGGGCAGCTCAGAGGCCTAGATTTCTTTGAAAAGCTGCTGCTGCATTCTTCTCCCAATAGCTATTGGTATCGACTCTCTCAAAGCTTTTTGTTAAAAAGCAGCATTGAACCTTGCCATATTGGCCTAGCTATCTTAAGGCTGGTGTTGGCCTCTCCCTTTGTAATTTGCAGTTACTCCAGACCACCAATAACTCACCGATGAACTCCAAGCCACAGCAGATCAAGATGCAGTCAACCAAGAAGGGAGCTGTTACAAAACGAGAGGATGGTGTTCCCCCAGCTGGGACGGCAGCTGGAGGCCCACCAGCTGGGGACGAGGCCCCCTCAACAGCCGCAGCGCCACTGACACCTACTGCCCTGCAACCATTGGTAAGTGAGGAAAATATCACGTCTGTCCTATCTGTTTGTATCCTGGTTTCATCTGTTGGAGGAAGGGCACTCTAAAGCACAAGCATCATCCCCTCATACCTCATATTGAACTCACCTTGAGATTCAAAGTGCAACAGAAAGAAATAGAAGTATAAGTAGTCTCACAGCAGAAAACAGAATTCTCTGATGACTGGATGATTCTTCATGGCTGACCTTTCAGCAGCTTAGGGTCCTGGGACAATTTGGGTTGGGCTTCAGGAAGTGTCTAGTCTAACCTCCTGCTCTAAGCAGGATTAGCTGTGAGGTCAGACCAGGTTGCTCAGGGTTTTATCCAGTCATGTCTTGAAAACCTCCAAGGAGGAAGACTGCACAAGCTCCCTTGGCAACCTGTTTCACTACTTGACTGTGCTCACAGTGAAGAAGCGTCTCCGTATACCCAGCAGCTGAACTAGTGAAGCATCTAACAACCAGTCACAGAGTGCATCTCTGCTGTCTGAATGAGAGGTAGAACATCCCTACACTAGAGAAATTACAACCTAAGTAGTACTGTCAGACACGGGTTATGTGTCCTGTTTCAGAGGGAGGATGGAGATGTCCAAGGAGGAGGAAAGACTTCTCTCTTTCAAGAGAAATGTATCCAGGTTGTTTTGTTGGTTAGGACTTCTCAGCTCAGCTTGTCCGAGAAGGATACCTAGCCTTTCTGGGCTGAAAGGAATGGAAACTCAATACTAACTGCAGGCTTTGGGAGCTATTTGTCAGCTTTACGTCATAGTGTACTTACCCTTTTATGGAACTTACCTAGTAAGCGAAAGGTTCAGGAACTGTCTCTGTCAGGAAACCTGGTCAGTGTTCCCTGTTTTAATTTTAGCTATCTTAGTTGTCATTGGTCAGATCTCACCCTCTTGAGCCAGGCTGGCTGCTGAAAGAGGGACCGCTGGCAGGGGTTCTCTCCCTTTGCATATGCCTGTGGCTTCTTACTGATTCCCCCATCTCCTTTGTCTTCTTGTAGCGTCGCTGTGGTTGTAAGTAGTGCTCCCAGCTTGCTCTTTGTTTGAGAGTTTGTGTTGTTTATGTTCTTGCTTACTTCTGCCTCTTTCTCCTTGCTGCTTCCCCTCAGCCTGCGCTGGATGAAGAGCCCCACGTCCGTGAGGGCAATAAGGTATTTGGCTCCTTTAAGAGAAGGGTGGGCTTGCTGGCCTGAGGCTGGGAAGGGAGTCAGGTTAGCAAGAGAGCCCTGGTAGGGGGGCGGGGGGCTCTCCTTCCATTCTGCACAAAGCCAGGGGAGCCTGAGGCCTCAATTTCCTGGATGTCGAGCCTGACGGCACCTGCTGACTCTCATAGGAGTGAAGCATTACAAAAATTGGGAAATCAGGTCCTCCCCAGCTTGAAGGGCTGAACTTCGTGGTTGTATCTGTCTGTCTCTCCTCCTTCCTTCATGGTGCGTCCGTCTGCCTTATCTCCTTGCTGCAGCGGTAGGAAGCTGATCTCCCGCTGTCTGGACGTGCGTGTAATCCATCTGAGCTCCTGCTGTGTTGATGCTCTGATTCAGAGGTCACTGATGTGTACACTGAAGTGTATCTTCTTGTTTTTCAGTCAAAAGTCGGAGGAGGAGGCCGGCGACGTGGGGGTCAGCGCCATAAAGTGAAGTCTCAGGGAGCCTGTGTGACTCCTGCCCGTGGCTGCTGAATTTCTTACTCCTCCTCCCTCTGAGGAATTCCTCCCCTTCCCTTCATTTCTTATCCAAAAGATCCAGAGCAGCTTAAACCAAAACCCATCCCAGCTGATTGGCTGCAGAAGAATCGTCCCTCCTCCCTGAAGGAAGTGATGGAGAGGAGCATAATTTATAAGCTAATGAAGGTGGTAAGACACACAGAACTGAGTAACTGACACCTTCCTCCTCCCCCTGTCGACACATTTTTGTACATCATGGGCTTAGTTTTTATTCTTACTAGTTTTTATTATATTTTGTGTGCATGAAGATGAGGAGAGTCTGGATAGAACTGCAAAGAGCCAGTTAGCTGCCTCCCTCCTCCCTCGCCCCATTCTGTCCACAGGACTTGCTGCTCTCCTCCTGTTTGCTGTCTCAGATCAGGGGTTACCAAACGCCTGAAATCTCAGACTTGCAAAAGTTAAAACACGATGCTTAGGATGGCTCCACAGGGCATTGTTTCCTCACCACTGTGGCCCCGTGCCAAATATGTTTCTGGATTCCCTTCATCTTAAACTATTTCTAAGTGGATTTAATTTAATGTTGTAGTGACTGAAGTTTGAAGGAGGTGGTAAGAAAGTTCATTAGTTGGAGATCCAAGAGGGAAACAAATTGGAAAGCAGTTCTTGATGTTAAGTTGAGGAATCCTGTATTAAATATCCTTGTCAAATACATTGATAGCACTTAAAATTTTAATTAGAGACAGAATTAAATGGGCAGCCATTTGCCCATCCTGTTCCCCTTTGCATCATGCTGCTTTTCCTATTGTTTGTCCAGTGCACATTGGAGCAAATCTAACCTGCCTCTCAAGGCTGCGGCAGCTCAATTGACAGTATTAGGAATATAGTGCAGGAACGCTCGGTCCGTCCCTTGAGCCAAAGAAAGCCTTCTCACCTCGATGGACAGAGATCACAGGTGGCAATACACCCTTGGAACAGAGACACCAGGCAAACCTGACCTCCCCTTGATTTTGTTTACTCCAAGATTTCCCAAATCTTTTCTGGAACTCACTGGCCAAACTTTGCCATGGCAGAGGTAGGATTTGTCTTCTCCCCTCTTGGCTGAAGAGGGCAATGATGAATTGGTACCAAATTTACAGAAGTGCTTTCAGGTTTGGAAGTACGTGGTAGTTTTTCTGACTTTTTTTTTTTTTAAAGATTTTTTTTTTTTTTAATGACAAATTCTGGTTTCTCCAGAAAGGCCCTGTAAGGAGGGTCTATGAATTAACTGTATTGTTATCATGTTTTTTTCTTAATCCTGAGTTGTGCAAGTGACCAATTCCCAGTTTATTTTGATCTCTCTTCTTCTAATCCTGCCTCTTCCCTTGGCTCCTGTGAGGACAGGCGTTATCCGCTGCCGGCTTGTGGTGAGCTGTGGGAGCGCAGTAGCATTTTGAGGGAGGAAGTGGCATCCTCAGCAAATCCTTGCTCACCCCAGCAGGCGCGGTCAGCCTTGGTTTCTTTGAGGGCTTCCTCCTCCACTGAAGGACTTTTATTTTGATTAAAGGGAGACTGAAGTGTTTCTGTCCCTCCTTAGCGGGTTGTTCCTGTTTCTCACTCTGTGGCATCTGTGTGGAGTTCATTCCAGTTCACCTTGTGATTCGAGGTAGGCTTTCAAGCCGACTGAGGGCCAGCGGGCTCAGGGGAGGGGAGAGCGCATCTCCCAACGCCAGCACCAGCACGCCAAGAGCATTAAGTGGCGTGGGAGAGGTGAGGAACGTGGTTTGGAGACGAGGGTACTTTGCCTTAGAGACTGCAGTGGCCCAAGTGTGGGTGGAAAGCGGGGAGGTCAGACAGTCCTTTCCAAGCTATGTGCCTAAATACCAGCGCTCTCCTGGCGAGGGAGGAACTATAGGTGGCTACAACACTAATAGCACCCGCATTGTGAGGGGGTGTGAAGTGTGGCTAAGCAAGGCATGAGGGCCTGGTTTGTTTTGTCTTCTGGCCCTGTAGCAGCATCAAACTGCATCTGATGTCACCGCCCTCTGCTTCCGAGGGGAGCAGGGAGGTCCAGGTGGTTTTCTCTTTCTCCATTCCTTGTACTCCAAATGAAGGAGACTGCTGAGACTGGAAGAGGGTTTACTTCAGTTTGTGCAAAGGAGGTGGTGTGATCTCTCTCTTGTGACCAGCATTCAAAGATCACTCAGGCTGGTGTGATCTATAAAATAAATTTTAAAAAAGTTTGTTCCAAGTTAAAGTATGTCTTGTTGCTTTTTGTCCCTCTGGAAATCCAGCAGTGGCTGCTGTAACGCCGAAAGCCAGACCAAGCGCGTTTGCCTGGCACCGTGCTCCTTTGCTGGCTGCGAGAGGAGGCTGTGTCCGTAGTGACGGCAGGGGAGGGCAGGCCGTGCCGCAGGAGAGCTGCTGCTGAGCCCCTGGCTGAGCCTCTGCACAGCCACAACAGCTTTTACTCTGCCTGAGATCTAGTGCTTCTCGGCAGCAGGGTGGTGAAAAGAGACCGCTTGCATGGTGTGAGCTATGCATGTGTGTGTGTGTTTGTGTTTGTGTGTGAAGGAGCTGCTCTAGCAAATCATCTGGGTCCAACGCTATTGGAGACAGTTTGCTCAGGGATGCAGTTTTAGCACAGCGGTTCCACTGCCTGCGTCCACTTGTGCTCCCCCAGGCTCTTGCAGCGATTTGCACCTCACCTGTTTCTGTAAATACAGTGGGGACTCTCCGGGGCTCGGAATGGGCCTTTTCCTGCCTCCTCGGTTGACCTCGGAGGTTCTCGAAGGCTTTTCCTGCCCTGCACAGCCCTTTCCTAACCACCACAGGTAAGTGTTGGCCTGGGAGCTGGTTGTAGCCAGAGCAAAGGCCCACCCAGCCCCTCTGCTCCTGATGTGTCAGGCACCATGGACACATGTGGGGAGCAGAGGTGCTGCTGGAGGTGTGCTCGCCCCTCTGCTCTGGTTCTGAGCACCCAGTACCCCATCCCTTCCCATTTGTTGTCCATTTCAGTTTTTATGTCTGTCCTCTCTCTGTGTCCCTCCCCCAGCTGGGGCACTAATGTGCCCAGAATCTCTATCCCTAGGGAAAACTGCTGAGGGCAGATCCAGGGCCAGCGGAGAACAAACCTTTCCCGAGGGTGGCCTTCTGCATGGGTGCTCCTCAACACAAGCCTGTCTCTAGCCTGGCCTGGTGAAGCAGATGCTGGTGTGACCCTCCTCAAGCTCAAGCCAGTCCAATTTCCCTTTCTTCATGCTCTAGGTTAACTTCCTCACACAGAGGACAATTATTTCCTTTCTACTTGCTCTTAGCTGCCTGCCGCGTAATTTACAGCCCACATTAAGGAAAAGAGAGCAACCTGCAGCTACCTTTAGTTGTGGTTTGTGTCAGGTTTCATCCTTGCCCTTGATAGGGCAGAGGACAGAGTGATGCCCAGGGACGGAGCACACAGCCATGGTGTGTCACAGACTGAGACTACTGAAAGTCAAAGGCCCAAGGAATGGGAGGTTTTTTAGGAGTAAGTCTTGTTTTCACCATTGCTCTGGTTTTTGCATCCCAGAGCCTGCACAATGACAAGGTGAAAAACACTGACCCTAGAGTTAGTATGTCAGGATGGAAAATAAGGATTTGCCATAAGAATACATAGAAGAACAAGAGCTATAAGAATAGCTTTGTCTAGCCACTAGCTGCACATCATTCCCACCAGCAAATTCACCTGCAAAACACCTACCACACACACACAACAGTTTTGATATAATTTATTTGTCTTG